CAACTGGAGGGAGAGAGAAGGGGAAAAGAGAAGGGTTGGCAGAGCTGGGAGGCCAGGTTCAGAGAAAAACATTTCAGAATCCAGGTATCAGAGAGTGGGAGGGTCACACGACTGACAAGGCCACGGCAAAGTCAGGATAGTGAGTGTCCCTAGGCACAGCAGAAATGGAGAGCCCTGGAGCGGAGCACACAGAGGCAGCCCATGACTGATGGAGCTGTTACGTTCCCTAAAGATGCCAGCACGGGGTGGAGAGCAATGGCAAGGCATTCCTGTGGTCCTCAGGTCCCTACGGTTGTGCAAAAATTTGTGAGATGCTAGTTTTGAGAGTGGAGATGGTGTTATGAGATGCTAGGTAGGCTTCAAAGGAGCTGGGAGGAGGAGACTTGGGGACAGGCTTCTGTTACATCAAGTTAAGCTGCTGCAGGGACACCCACATCCTGTACTGGAGTGCCCTGGTTTGAGCCTTGGCTTTGCTCCTGATTCCAGCTCCCTGCTGGTGCCTACTCTCAAAAGCAGCCATTGGATAGTGCAGGTTCTTGGGTTCTTGCCACCCACATGGGAGGCCCAGAACAAAGTTTAGCTCCTGGCTCTGGAAGCCCAGCCTTGACTATTGCAGGCACATCAGGTAGTAAAATAGCAGATGGAAGATCCTGGTTTTTCCAAAAAACCGAGGAAGGCAGGGAAGAAGCCCCAAAAAGGATAGAGAGAGCTGGGAGAAAGAGATCTGTGGAGAAAAAGTTATGAGTGAAAGATGAGAGCAGCAAATGCTACAGGGTTGGGACTGGACAGAACAGATCTCAAGGAACCCTGGCTACTGACAGGTCACCATGGGGAAAGTAGAGGAGCAGGCCTCCATTCCCTACTGATGTGAGCAGAAGGACCTCAGAAAGCAATCATTTATCCATTAGGCTGGCATTCTGTATTCCCAGATGTGAGAACAGCCCAGCCATCTTTGAATGTGCAAGTCGCCTTTCTGTGAAATAAAGACTGCGTGGCCAGAGCCAACCCTCTAAGGAATATCTCCCCGGCACTCACATCTATTTTAAAGATAAAGGATGCCCTCCTTCCTGTGTCCTTCTTTAGAAATTCAATGTTCCAGAAGATCAAACTAAACAAAACCAAATTGTGCTGTGTCAAATTCATCTTCTAGACAGTTCAATGACTGGACATTGCATTTCCCATTCTGAGTTTTGATTGTAAGACTTATTATACCACACACCACTCACATTCTGTGATGGGGATGGAGGGCTGTTTTGACAATGAGGATGGGGTTGATACCAGTTTACAAGAGGTTCTTCTCTTATTCCATTTCCGTAACAAACACCAGCAGCTATTCTATCCAGACATTCACAGAAATACCTTCAAATATCCTGAATTTAAATATTCTATTATATTATCTTGAGTCATTAGGGACTTCATATCTGTTTGTAAAAAAAAAAAGTTTATGCTAATCTCATCTGTTTTTCTCCCTCGCTTTTTGACATTTTAGGTTTCAAGCAAAGGCAGCAAATAATTAATATGAATTAAGAAGGCCGGCGTGGACAATCACCCCTCATCGACCTTTCTCACTGCCACTGTGCTGTACAGACTCACAATGGATTAGCTTCAAAATCTAGAGGAACAGTCATGAAGGGGGCCCACAGTGTGTGTATGATGCCCAGGGAATCTCCTGTTGCAAACAGGGCTGAAGGTGTCTGCATGTTCCAAGAATTCAAATGAGCTCCTGGGACATTGCTCGGAGGTTCTGACATGATCACATCTTATTTAAAGATGGTTTCCGGGGCAGACACTTCTTGCAATGTCAAGGTTCTTAGTGAATATCTGTGTTAATCCATATACATGAGCATGCGAAATATTTCTTTTCCAAGATAGACAATGAGTCAAACACACCCTGGATTGCAAACATTTTGAGTAATAAAAGAATGTATGCCATTCCAGTAAAATTTTAATTTTTGCATTTTTAAAAATTACCTTTAGTACTACTTGTTAAGATAATTTGAATTATACTAGAGCTAAATAGAATGTTACTAAAATTCATTTATTTTTATATATAATTGCCTTGAGCAAATGTTTGGCACAGTAAGGGCTTGGATTCAAATCCTGACTGCTCCCAAATCCAATTTCCTACTAACGTATATCCAAGGAATCAGCAGAAGACGCCACAACTGCTGGGTCTCGGTCAGCTACCTGGACATATGGAGGGAGTCCCTGGCTCCTGGCTCTGGCCTGGCTTGGCCCTGGCTTCTGTGGACGCTTGGGGAATGAAACAGTAAATCAGAGATCAGCCTCTCTTTCTCTGCTTTTCAAATAAAACAAATTTTAAAAATACATCTACCTAGAATCAAGTGAAGACGTGTTTAAACAGACAAAGAGATACCAGCCAGTGTGAAGCAGAGAGGGCACATTCGGGAAACAGGAGAGGACAGACTGATGGCAGAGGGACACCTGGAACTGATGGACACAGGAAAGCAGCACACACAACAGTGTGGTGTTGCAGTAACCAGACATCCCAGCAGCATTCAGACAGCGGCAATCGGAACTGCACTGGCAGCCGGAACTCCACCCACAACCAGGTGGGAAGGGGAGCTCACAGGAGCTCAGGGTGTGAACCCAGATAAAGAACTGCCTGTCCTGCTGTGATTTGTTTGATTTGGCCAGGAGCAGCGACAGAGCAGCAGGTCCCAAACAGGCAGTGCAGGAACAGGATGGATTTCACAGCCCCAAACCCCAGTAAGGCTGAATCAGTGCCATCTTATGTAGGGGGGCAAAGGCTATGGGATAGGACTACACAGCACTAAGTTGAGAGCAAACACATTTCTGGCTCTGTGAATTGCAACAATGTGGTATCCTACAGGTTTCACCCAAGAGAGGTCTGGGTAGCCCCAAGACCTAACAACCAGCAGATCAAGGACCCCAGCAGCGGCATGTCAGGCACCTTTTTGTACAGTGTGGCAAAGGCTTTGAGACAATAGTGAGCTGTACATGTGTTGAGCTGGGAGTGAACTCACAGAGTTCAGTGCACTGCACTGGTCCCACACTGAAAATAATACCGATTTTGGCATCTTATGATTCAAAATAGGTCCATGTGGCCCTAGGACCTAACAGCCAGCAGGTCCCTGCAAGATCAGCGCCATGAACAACCTAGGTGTGTATAGGACACCCGATGTCTCCCTACTCCTGGGAACTGCTCAAGCTGGAAGAGGGAGAAAGCTTGAATAGACAATGGTACAGCCTTAGCATGGAACCACAGGAGATGGAGAGTGGTGAGCTAGGAGCTGGGGCTACAGAGACCATGGTGGAAATCTAACATAAGAGCCCAGATCTGAAACTCACTGGCGGGATTGGCACAAGTGACTACAAACAAACAGCTATGTACCAACTGCAATAAGTAAAATCGAACTGCAGCCCTGTGGGTGACAGAGCTTAGAAACCTGCCCCAAGGATAAGAATCAGCTGACCAGAGGTACAATGACCAAGAACAGAAGGCAAAAGCATTCTTCACCATGATACATGATAACCAAGCTCTCTTCAATTGAACATAAGCACTTTTTTTTTTTCAGTTGGTTTTCATCATTTCCAGTTTCTATCAGATTTTAACCACCTTATCTAATTGGAAAAATGATGTATTGATGTAGTTTTTATTCATTTCTTATTTGGTTTCCTTCCTGTTCATTATGCTTTCTTGTTATTTATTTGCCTGTGTTAGTGAGGTATTTCAGTACGTGGCAAGTTCACTCTTAAACAGAAAACTGCAAGAGCAAGTGTTCAGTGGATTAAGTAGCCACTGGAGACATCCAGTCCCATATTGGAGAACCCTTGGAGTCTTGGCTAATTCACATTTCTGATGTAGTGTGACGCTCATGTGCCCGGGAAGCCACAGGTGATGGCTCAAGGGGACTGACTTCCTGCTTCCAGGATTTGACCTAGGTTAGCCCGAGCTGTTCTCAGTACATGGAAAGTGAACCAGGGGTTGGAAGACCACTCTTTGTTCTTTTCTTCTCTCTCTCTGTTAACTCTGCATTTAAAATAGGCTCATTAGGGGCATAAGACTTCAGAGCAAGGTGGCTCCTATGGTCTGTGTGACAGCTTGTTCTGTGATCAGAAGAGATTCAATGCAAACACAGACACACATATGCACAGGTGCGGAGGACAGCATCTGTGAGAACATGCCCAAGTCAGGAATATCCCAGGCCATGAGCAGGATGCATGCTAGGGAGGTAGGGAGGTAGTGAAGTGCCAGGATCACCCCAGAGGGCCAGCAGGAAAGAACAAGGTAAACCTTGAGCCTCAACAGACAGTGTGGTCTCTGCAAGTATAGATCCAGAAGCATATTCTCTAAGTATGTTAACTGCCAGTACACACCCTCACTGGAGGGATTGCGACAAGTGGCTGCAAACAAAGAGCTGTGTACCAACCAGTGTAGGGGCATGAGCTCACATCCCGGCTGCTCCACTTTTGCTCAATCCCTGCTTGTGGCCTAGGGAAGCCACGGAAAATGGCCTGAGTTCTTGGGACCCTGCACACACATGGGAGATCCATATGAAGTGTATGGCTCCAAGCTTTGGATTGGCTCAGCTTTGGCTGTCGTGACCATTTGGGGAGTAAATTAGTGGATGGAAGATCTTGCTTTCTGTCTCTCCTTATCTGTCTGTAATTTTACCTTTTCAATAAAAATAAACAAACCTTTTAAAGCGTCTTTGGAATAAAGAACTGCTGCTAGCCTCAGCAGATCCTAAGTTAATGAGACCATGGGCCATTCCCCAGTCCCAGCCCTTAACAATCCACACACGTGTCTTGGAACTAGTGCTTCTGGAAAGACAGTCCAGGAAGCACTCCTTTGGGCTCCTCAGAGTCAGGCCTTACCGGGATGAGGTTCACTTTCCCTTCCAAGTCTGAGAATCCTAACTCCTCAGCTCCAGGGAGGGGCAATGACCCCAAGAGCAAAGGAGGATGCAGGAGGGAAGGGTTTCCGCCTGGCCACTTGTAGACAGGACACTCACTTCAGCAGATTGCCCAGGTTAAAGAGAGCCCGGTTGTGCTGGGGGTGCAGCTGCAGCGCCCTCTGATAGTACATCTGTGCCTCCGCCGTGTCCCTCGTCAGGGTCCCAAGGTTGTTCAGGGCACTTGCATGGCGTGGATACAACCTGCAGAATCAGAAACATGAAGCCAATCAAGGTTCCTCAAGTCTCAAGTTGGGCCCACCAATCCCAATTATGCTTCCACTGAAATGAAACAAATCCTTAACTCTTTGTTAACTGTCTGCATCAAGCCTTGAACATTTTTGTCTCACCTGAAGGTACATAAATATGGCTGCAAAATACATACCTGATGTTTACAGCTAAACAACCCTTAAGCAGCATGAAAATAAGAAATATGTAAACCTACCAGGGTTGACTCAACCTTTGTCCTTAGACGCCTACAGTAACTTCCAACTGCCATGGCAAAAATCCACCCTGCGTTGGGGATGGCCTTCCAGCCTGGTGCGGGGCTGGCCAGCTGCCTGTCAGGGGTCTGGATCTAACCACAGGTCTCTGGGGTGGAAACTGCCTCAACACCTTTGCACTGGAGCAGAAGGACCTCTTGACTGAAAGGCTGCCGCCCCTTAATACAATCTCTCTCCCCATTAGAGCTCTCCATCTTGCCCTACTTTGACTATCTTATCTCATTCCCTCATCCTCCTGCAAGCTGGCTGCACCTGGCATGAAATAGTTCTTAGAATAAAAATTGTGCGAACTGAAAATAGTTAAAAACTGAAAATTAGAGGCTGCTGGCATAATGACACAGCATGCTAAGTTATCAGCTATGGCACTAACATCCAATATTCATGCTGGTTCAAATCCCAGCTGCTCCACTTCCAATCAACTCCTTGCTTATGGCCTGGGAAAGCAGCAGAGGATGACCAAGCCTTTGGACCCCTGCCCTTGGACTCCTGGTTCCTGGATTACTGACCCAGCTTTGACCACTGCGGTTATTTGTGGAGTGAACCAGCAGGTGGAAGATTCTCTCCTGTCTCTCCCCGTCTCTGTGTAACTCTACCTTTAAAATAAAAAAGTATTTAAAAAAAATCCCTTGAATATTAGCGAATGCCTGGTGAAGGGGAAATCAGCACTCCTAGAGCTCAAAGGCAAACATACACAAAGCCAGACCAGTGTGGCTCTGTAATTTGTTAGCTTCCAGGCCTTTGCAGTGGACACATGTAGCAGTCTCATAGCCTTACTCTCTCACCATCACCCAGGGCCCTTCCGACAAGCCCCTGGGCTGGCTTTTAATGAAGATAGGCCATGATAATATCCTAGGGATAAAAAGCTGTGCACTCGTCCAATGTTTTGACAAACAAATGTCACTTGTGCTCCTGTCATGCACCTTGGAGGATCCGTTTAATCTGGGAATGCAAGGGGTTCTTTTGGAAGTCCATGGAAGATAAGTTACACAGTTTTGTGTCTTGGTTCAGCACAGAGCTTCCTAAGCTGATGTGACCTTTCCCAGTTCTCTCATTTCTCTCTCAGAACAGCCATGAGTATCCATTAGTAGGAGATACTCTATGTGGCTCTTCTGGGCTGACAAGGGACAGATTTGATACGATAGCCCTGAGTATCACATCGCCCCAAAGTCTGAAAGCCCTAATTACAGCAGCTTTGGGGACTATTAAGAGACATTATATTAAAGGAAGTCAGTGGATGGAAATGCAGCAAGTCAGTGCATGTGACACTGTTTGCTTTGCTTTAGTCTCCTCTAGCTGGCACAGAAAATTCTAAGGTCCCTAATATCGGCGTCTTAACTCCCAACTCTTCAGTGGCTGGCTGGCCGACAGGTGCATGGCGCTTTCTCTGAGATGCCAGTGGAACATTTCATTGGTACAATGAGAAGCAAAAGCACTCTCCCATAGCTGACCATCACTCCATGCCCTCAAGAGTCTGGGAAGCTGCTGCTAAGAACTGCTTTGGCAGTGGCTGTAGGAGCTTGAATTCTTCTAAAGAGGCTTTTGTTTTTTTCACGTCAAACAAAGCACTACAGCCTCCAAAATATCTCGATGGCATCCAGTGAATGTGGTAAGGACAATGGCCATGCACCTTGCCCCCTCTCGGACCAGCAGTGACAGAAAGCACCTGTGGCATGTGTGCCTTCCTGCATCCCACAAGAGGCAGGTTTTTAAGACTTTCTCCCTTCCCTCATTTCTTCACACGGTGGAGCCCTTGAAATAAACATCTACTGGAAAAAAAAAAAAACCCTACACAAAAGGTCAAGGTGAAGCCTGTAAGAGCTTCCACAGTGGGCCCACCAAGGTGTCCAGGGGCCTGTCTGCTCTGCCAGGCAGCTGGACCTCAGCAGCTGGTCCCAAGCCCTGCTGCCTGGAGGTTCGATTCTCACAGGATCCTACCGCCATGCCAATGGACAGCCAGGTGCTTCCAGTGTCCAGTGACTACAATCAGAAAGAGAACACGAGTCCATGCCAAACTCTCAAAACAAACAAGCAAACAAAGCAAGCACTGAGAAGGAAATCAAGAGAGAACAGATGGAAGCCCGAGGAGAGACCAGGGCTTCTCCACCGCTGCTCTGAACTCTAAGCAGGAGTGGATGTGCAGGAGTGGAAGGAGGTGCAGAAAGAGAACGCAGTCACAGAGGAAGCCCTGTGATGACAAGGAGCCCAAGCCCACCCAAGGGGCAGCTCGGATTCCCTCGGGCTTAGTGATGCCACCACAGCCACAGCTCTCCCCCTGGAAACTGTAGCCATCCATGGATTATTCATAGTAACAGTGAGGGTCTAATAGCAATCTCCTCTCTCACTGCGTATCTAATTAGGCTCACCTTACAAGCGCTGAATTATTTATGAAACAGAGCTGAATTTCATTAAAAAGAATCCTTAACAACCAGGTCACAAGAAACATCTTAAAAATATTTATACACTTGCACATATAGATGTTTCCTTTAAATCCGGACTCCGCTTTCCTGTGGGCCTATGCAAGGACAAGATTTATTTGGTATATTTACTTTTTAAATAACTTTGGAGTTGGCTTGCTCTGTGTCAATGCTGGGGTCTCCACTGACGGAGGAATTTTCGATGGAAAAGAGGAATAATTTCAGCAATGCCTATGTTGCTACATAGGAACCTGCAAGTATGTTTCACCAAAGACCCGTTGGTGGTTATTCCCATCTTCATCCAAAAACCTCAACAAATGACTGACTCACTGAGCTGCAATAGACTTTTGAGGACCAGTAAGAACAGAACCAGATTTCTTCCGAACAGTCTTAGTCAACATTTGTGTTGTATGTAGGGACTCTCGCTACTCATAACCATCATTCCCACTGAAGGGTATTATGGAGCAAGGAGACCAAGCGCCTTCTGCAGAAAGTATGTTACACTGTCCAGTACACCTGGGGCACAATGAAACGGATTTTTCCATCCTGAAGAAAAGAAGTACAGGTATGTGGATCAAGTTTTAGAAGCTGAAGAAAATCTATTTTGCAGTATTGAAACGATTTGAGTATTTGAATGCTCTGATTTTAAGTAATTGGAAATATTTAATTATAATAGTTGTATTTATTTATTTGAGCGGCAGGGAGAGAGAACTGCCACCTGCAGGTACATATCCCAAAGGTTCCCTAGAGCCTCAGGTGTGAATCTGGGATCCAGTGCGGGACCCGCACATGAGTGGCAGGGACCAGCTTCTCTGAGCCATCACCACTGCCTCCCAGTTGCTGCCAGAGCAGGAAGCTAGAGTTTGGAGCTAAGTCCCAAACTCAGGTACTCCAAGCGAAATATGGATGGCAGAGCTGCTGGGCTCCAGTTCTGCTTCAGGTAGATTTTTAAAGTTTGTTACTACTTTCATTTTGTTTGACAAAGAGAAGAGACAGACACAGAGAAATCTTCCATGTGTGGGTCACAGCCCCCAGTGTTTACAGCATACTGGGCTCAGCCAAGAGCCCAAAACCTGATCCACGTTTCCTTCATGGGTGACTGAGACCCAATTACTTGTCCCCTGCTTCCTCTCAGAGCCTAAGTTAGCAGGAAGATAAAACTGAAGATGGAGCGGGGGTACACATCCAGGTACTCCCATTTGGGGAGTGGGTACTCCACACAGCATCTCAATTACTGTTCAAACACATACCCTGTCCTGTATTGTTGTTTTTACAATCCTAACATCTAGGTAAGTGTGTTAGGGGCTCTTCATTTTTATCTAATGACATTTCACTGTCAGAATTAATAAAACAGACAATCAAGGTCATTAGTGTCCTCCATTCCCAATCACCGTCCCTCCAAAGTGTGCACCAACAAGGCAGCGGGGGAGAACAGTGTCCTTAAAAGATGGAAGGCAGGAGCAAAAGAAACTGCGTTCAAAAGGCCCTAGAATGGCATCAATGGCACTCCACATTTTAAAGTGCTTTCACACGCTCTGTGTCATTTAACCCTCAACATTCCTCAAGTGGAATGATCGTTCGATTTCACCACGCAGGGCTGAGTGGCTGAATGCATGAGCTAGACATAACAACAACAGCAGCTCCGGACATGGACGTTCTGAAGTGCCAAGGAGGCAGATGGGTCCTGAAAATCTATTTGTCTGCCCAAATGAAAGCCAAATCATTCCACCTTCGGCGATTAAAATGCCCTGTTACAAATGAAGAGCTTCCATTTGGAACGCTTGTTCCTTGTTTATTTATTTATTTTTTGGGGGGCACTTCTTTCAACCATGAACTGGTGGCTCAGTGTCAGAAGTGAGAGAAACTCAGTACCCAGGAGCCCGGGACACAGAGATGCTTCCTCGCTGCCCAAACATGTGCACTGCCGTGCGAGGCCACTGGGATGCCTGGAAAGCCACTGAGAACAGCGGCGGAGTTGAGTGTAGGGCACACACGTGCTTTCCAACGTGCTACTCCCAGGCCTTCTGACTACGGAGTGGTTTTATGTTCTATTTCAGGCACTTACTTTAAATTTTGTACAATCTGTCTCAGAGTCACACCCACTGTTAATTTTTCATTGTTGGAGTACTTCTAGAGACATTTCCTTGCTTGCATAATACTGAATCATGTGCTCCGGTTTGTAATTTCCTTTCAGAGACTACACACCCTGATTTATTTGCCCGATTTTCATTCCACACATTAATTTATTTGAGGTTAACTATGCTAAAGTCAGATGTTTATTTTCCAT